TAGTCCGAAACCCGAGACTAGCGATGCGTTTGAGGTTTAAAATGATTGAATTGATTGAACGCTTGTGTGGACCCGATATTGGTTTCTATTGTTATAATTTGTTTGCAATGAATAATTACGAGTTTTATCAATACGTCTATTATGCGGGACTCAATACTTTTCTTATAATCAGTTTGTTTTAAATACAATTGCATTAATTTATGCCTACTTAATAAATATGATCATTGTAAGTAGTACTTACTAAGTACTAATGTTATTATCTTAATATACAGTATTTGTAATCATAAAATAAACTGATAAACTGATATTCTCTGTTGATGTGCATTATATTGTAAATTAATTTAATATTCATTTATTATTTATTGCAATATTTTGCTATTTTGTATTTTAAACATGTATATTATCTTTAAACACAGATATCATTGACTGCATGTCTTATGTTTAGTGTGAAATAAAAACTTTGATTTAAAATTTAGTTTATGATTGCGATTAATATTACAGATATAATTTTATATCAATAAATTTATAGTTAAATATACTATACATGTGTATAAACTAGGGTTGGCAATATGACAAACCATGTATTTTACGTATGTAATTTACATAGTATTTTACATGTATTTTACATGCACAGATTTTTCATTTTGTAAAATACATCATTAAAAAAATATATGTAATTTACATAGTATTTTACATGTATTTTACATGCTCAGATTTTTCATTTTGTAAAATACATCATTAAAAAAATTTATTGGTAAAATTTTTTCAATATTTTTACAAAACTTGGGTAATATGTTTGCACACTTGTTATTTGTTTATTATTGTTAAAATAATCATTGATTAAAATGAGTAAATAATAGCCACAATCAATTATTTGGAACTATTTTACAAAAACAGTTGATAAAAATTGCTGCAATTTTGTCAAAAATCAATTATTGGACCAGATTCAATTGTCGAATTTGAAATAATTAGTGATTAAAATGTTATAAATGTATAATTAATGTCATAATTGCAATAAAAATGCTTAATTTTTAGTCTTAAAATACTTTAATTTTTTCCACATAGTAAGTAATATGACAAGTATATTACGTGCATTTTTGTATTTTACAATGTAAATTACATGGCTTCACAAAAAAATCATGTAATTTACCAACCTTAGTATAAACTGATATTTATAAAACTTATTTTTGATTAGTATTTAGCATTAATATTGATGTTAAACAAACATTTCATTATCAATATCTATAAATACTTTATTTTTGTGTATTTTATATTGATTTCGAATTTTGCACTACGGTTTTCATTAATACATATTTCAATTTATTTATTGTTTTGCGTTTAAAGAGTAAATGTTTGAAAATATGGAAATAACAAGAGATTCATTCGAAAGGTTTGGCGACGATTTAGTTGAAGTGATGGTCAGTTATCTCCCACTCGAAGATCGGTTTAGATTTGAATGTCTGTCCAAACGGTTCGAGACATTGATTTACACAACACTTACGGACATTAATATCGACTACAATATGATGGATAAAATGATTATGGTAAACATTTTCGGTAAAATTACTTTTAGTCCAACGTATTTGCAAATATTGATGACAAAGTGTCCGAATATAACACGTGTTGACATAACACGTGTTAACAAATTCTTATGGCATTTATTTTTGTCATTAAATGATATGCGAAACAATTGGCCAAAACTAAAGAGAATTGATCTAAGAATTCAATCACTTGATGTCAATGATAGGCAACTTGTAGTTGAAATGTTTAGTGAAATGATCACTGATGTTGACACAAGATATTTCAAGCCAATTGATTTCACGTTTCTGTCTCATTGTAACCGATTATTGCAAATTAAAATCAATTCAATGGATATTAAGCCTGAAAACAATAATCACTTTAATATGAATAATTTGAAGGCAATTACAATTGAATTCAGTTCTGGATTTAATACCCAATTATTTAATATATTTGCTACAAATGCCAAAAGTTTAAAAAGTCTGTCGACAATCAATATGAGTGCCGCTCTTTACCGTCGCGAACATGTGATTGAATTGATGTCACAATTAACACAATTACAAGATTTGCGTCAATTGTCACTACATTTTAATTCTTATCTCTCGTATTCATTATCCGAATATTTGCATGAAATGGGACTCAAATTAAAGAAATTAAAAAGATTTTCACTCAGTTTTACGGCATTTAACGATCCGACAATTATTGTCAACGCATTGAAGTCTATGGATGCTTACCGTGGATTAACATCTCTTAAGCTTGATATGCGCTTAAAAGCGTGGCAACACGTGACTGATTGGCGAGCATTAGATTCAATGCAATGTTTGCCACAATTAACACATTTATCACTGGATTTGTGGCAAATTGACAATCAATTGATTAGGAAAATAATTAAAGTTTTCCCAAATCTGCGATCTCTTGATTTGCGTGACTATAGTAATCGTTATATAAATATAATTAATTTATATCTCATCTCAAGACTACGTCTACTGAAGACTTTGACTATCAGAGACTCGTCGGATATAAGTGTCAATGAATGGGATTTGAAGGCAATGTTTACCACAAGTGATAGATTAGAGTCCATTCATATCACAGCTGATTACAAAACTTACATTCAATTGAAAGAAAATTATATTAAAAATTATTAACAAATATGTTTATAAAAATAAAATTTAATCTAAATATTAAATCTATTAATGTTTGAAAATTAAATACTGATCAAATAAAAGTTTTAATATAACTAAATAACTATCTTGTAATCATATTGACAAATTTTTAATATTTTTAATTTACCCAAAACTTCCGATGCGTTTGAGGTTTAAAATGATTGAATTGATTGAACGCTTGTGTGGACCCGATATTGGTTTCTATTGTTATAATTTGTTTGCAATCAATAATTACGAGTTCTATCAATATGTTTATTATGCGGGACTCAATAGTCTTTTTATAATTAGTTTGTTTTAAATACAATTGCATTAATTTATGCCTAATTAATAAATATAATTATTATGTATACTATCTTAGATTTTAGAGCTTATTGTTTTATTATTTATTAATTTGTGTAAATCATTAAGTAAATTAATTAACAAGTACACGGTACATATATTCTAAAATTAAATACATTTAAATTATATTATTGCACATAAAATCATATATTTATTTTATACATTACTTTAAATATATGGTAAATTTCGTGCAAAATGTCATTAATTACATCATTAAGTTAATGACAAAATCAATATATATTTTTAAACTATACATAATTTAATTAATATAATGCACAACCTTATTGTTTCAATTAGCATTGTGGTAAAAAGTTATGTGTTGCATTTAGTAAAAGAAGTTAAATATTGTCAAATAAATTATTTAAAATAAAATATAAAACTGACTATTATTAAATAAAAGATTACTTAATTTACTCAATTGAAGATTAAAACAGCCATGTAAATTTTATTCATATTTAATTTACTGTATATTAATTATGTCTTTCATTAAATGCAATGAAGTATTGCCACAAAAATTGCAAATACAATCGGCAGAGAATCTATTGTTTTCAATCGGGTTATCGCTTTATAAACCTGTAAGCACTCTAAATAGACCATGGTATTCACAACCCGTTATTAAATCATGTGTGTTTCTCTATTCATTAATTGCAAGCATAATAAATTATGTAAATAATGGCCATGATAAATTTATTATTTTAGTATTTGGTGATATATCATACATGTTAGGCATTGGAGATCATATTAAATTGACCATTATATTTTATACCAGTTTTCTATTGAGTACTCAATTAATATATTATTACAACTATTGGTGTGGTATTGAACCGACATTTCTCCGGGTGTTTGCTATGATGTCAGGTATGGTTACCCCCTATAGTGTCGGTCTAACGGATCCACAATCTGTCCACAAATTCATGAAAAAATCTAAAATAATATTTAAAATAAATGCTTTACTAATTAATAGCATCGCATTCTTAAGTGGATTTTTATGGTTTTTACCATATTTATTCTACAATCCAATATCAACTGCACTAATCTATGGTATTCCTAATTTAATATTATATAACTCGATGGAATATTTTAGTTTACAATTACTTTTATGGCAATTAACGTATTTTTATTTACTCTCCGAGTATTTGATAATTAAATTTAACAATATTTACAATAAACTAAACACAAAATCATATAATATTCTGACTATAATTAACGAAATGAATAACATTTATAACGAGATCGATGAATACGACAGCACTTATTGGTCCCAATTTTTGTGGTCATTTTGGTTTATATTTGGCGATATTGTAATCATGATGCTATATCTTTCAATCTTTGTCGATTTATCATTAGTGCTTAAATTGTTCATGGTCTATACAGCTGTGTGTGGAATATTAGTGTTTGCGTTACTCATGTATACGGCGGCAACTGTTAGCCAAATGGCAGACAAATCATACAGGTCATTAAATATCTACTATGTTAAAAATTAATAATATTATTAGTGCTATTATGCAAAAGCGACTTGTAAACTTACTTTACTCTTATATTCACAAGGTTATAATTTATAAATTATAACTTATAAAACACTACTGTACATATTATGTTAATATTATATTTTATACCTGTACACTGTTATTACGAAATTCAAATCTTAATTAATCACAAATGGCTTCGAAATAAATAATTATTTTATATGAATATCAAAAATATCATTAAATTTATTAATAAATATTGTACAAGTTAGGAATTAATATTAATATGTGTAAACAATAAGAAGTTTTATTATAATAAAATTAAAAATGCAATAAATATTAATTAAATTCAATAATACTGTATTTGACAACATATATAACAACAGTATTAATAATATAAATATAACTTTATTTCAATTTATAATTTATTGTAATATTTTTAATAATAAGTTATTATTAATAACCAAATATAATCAATTTAATTGTATAACTGAATAATATATATAAATTGTTTTTAAATTGAATAAAACTTCTTCTCATTGTTTCCATGGATTTCAATTGTCTTGAGTTTAGGACTTCTGGACAACAGATCATTGAAATCAATATCCGAGAGATCATTGGATCCAATGAATCGAAACACAAGCGTTTGCAGCGCCGGTAATCTTGAGAGGTGTGACAAACACTCGGTGTCTATGTTTTCGTTGCCATCAATCCATAGATACTGAAGGCGTGGACAGTGTTTATGGCAGTCAATCAGTACTTTGACGTCCTTTCCTATCAAATTAATCTCTAAATGCGTTAATCTCTTGCAATCACTCAACGGATCCAACGAGAGATCAATTTGTGCGAAAATCACATGAAATTGTGTTAAACGCAATTGTTTTAATTGCCGGTAATATCGCAACGAATCCAGTGTCTGGCGTTTGCTTCGAGTGCTATCGTAGATATAAAGTGACAATCGTTTCAACTGTTTGCAATTCACGCCAATTGTGCGCAAAACGTCGGTCAATGAGTATTGTCCGCCGATTACCTCCAAAACGAGATACAAATCCCGTAATTGTGTTAATCGTGACAATTGTCCGCACATTTCGGTCAGTGAGTCGTGAGTTTCGTACGTATAATAACTGATGTCAAGACATATAAGGGACAGATTGTGTGCCACGAATGCAGACAATTGGTGGTAATCACTGTTTAAACAGGAATTTAACTCAAATTTCTGCAAATTCTTCGTCAATAGTTGTCCGGAAGTGGTGTCAAAGACGTCGTCTAAACCATCGACTTTTAATTGAGACAATCGGTGGCAATGAGTGAGTAATTGAGTGTCGATATTATCGTCGATAACATTGATTCGTGTGACCAGTGGTCCGATTGTAGGCATTGTTTGTCCGCTATTTTGCCATAAATTGCAGTAAATTTCACGCAAATTATGACAATTGTCTTGAAATATGGCCAACACTTCGGGAATGTGTTCTCCATATTCAGCTCTTATTCCTCGACAGTCAATGGTCTCAATCTTCGGACACTTTATGGTAATTGTGGCCAAAGTTTCAGCGATTGTTGTGTTAAGTATTTGTCGCATAAATCGGTCGTTGATTTCAATGTCCACAACACTCCCGAAGACTGTCCTCCGGAACTGTTTGGACACACTTTCGCATTGAAACCGATCTTCAAATGACAGGTAAGACAATAGAAGTTCACACAAATCATCACCGAATCTGTCCATTGAGTTCTTCGCGTAAATCTTTGGCTAAAATGTGAGACAAAAACAATTTAAATTAAATAAACAGTCGATTGCTTAACAAATACCTGTTGTCTGTCTTCACAGCCAAAGATTTACGCGAAGAACACACACAACAGATGAAACACAAGAAGACATCACTCGAGACCACAGATGACGGCAATGAAGACAACATTCAACAGGTATTTCACAAATAATTTATTGTTTATATTAACAAATACCTGTTGTCTGTCTTCACAGCCATCTGTGGTCTCGAGTGATGCCATCATTTGTGTCAACTGTTGGGCCATATCTTGGGATCAAATGAAGTGATTGTACGAAACGTTTGTTTAAAAGTTATATTTAAATATTGTTTTCAAATCAAAATAAACGTTAATAAGTTTGACGATAAATAAACAATAGATTTTAAAATAATAACGAGAGTTAACTGTATTTTTTTACATAAAATTTACAAATAATATAAGAATTAAACACAAAATAATTGTTGAAATAATGTTTACAAACGAATTGAAAATAATTACAATATGAACTGAAATTAGAGTTTAATTGCAATACAAAAATTAAATATTTTTTGAACACAAATTGTAATAATTATTAAGAACTTATAATTAAATTTTAAATAATCAAACATTGGATCAAAACATACATTTTGACACATTTTCAGTTTACGTGTTAATCGTTATGAAAGTAATTCATTGAATATAACTTCAAAATACTGACAAAAATACAATTAATTTGATTATTTGAATGAATATTAATTATTTAAACCATTTTTTGCTTTGAATAAAACTTCTTCTCATTGTTTTCAATGACTTCAATGTTCTTGAGTTTAGGACTTCTGGACAACAGATCCCAGAAATCATTATCCGAGAGAACAGTCTTGGGATGGCTTTCAATGGCAAATGAGCCCCAAAAACCTATTAGTGTTGGAATGTGTGGCAAACAATAGGTCTCATGAATGCATAGGTATTGAAGTTGTGGACAATGTTTGCCGACAATTGTCAACACATTTGCGTTCATTCCTCTCAAATAGATGTCTAAATGTGTTAACCGTCGGCAATGTCTCAACGGATCCAACGATATCTCATCGACGGTCGCATTGAGTCTCAAATCCAATCGTTTTAATTGTCTGTAATATTGCAACGAATCCAATGTTTGAACACTGGTTTCGTTCAGACGTGAGAACAATACGAGTGATAATCGTTTCAATTGTTCGCAATTCACGCCAATTGCGCGCAAGAAGTCGTGCACTGAGTTGTCGTCATTCATAACATTCAATCCGAGTCTCAATTGCCGTAATTGTGTTAATCGTGACAAATGTCCGCACATTTGCATCAAAGACTCGTTGGTCTTGTAATCAATAAACTTTATGTCAACACTTCTTAGTGACTGATTGTGTGCCACGAATGCAGACAATCGTTGGTTAAAATAGTCGGAGCAGTAATTCAATTCAAATTTATGCAAATTCTTTGCCATTAGTCGTCCGGAAGTGTTTTTAAAGACATCGTATAATCGATGGACACTTAAGTGTGATAATCGGTGGCAACGAGTGAGCGCTTGTCTGTTAATATCACTACGATATCTATTGCCACCGATTCGTGTGATCATTGGCCACAATGTATGCATTGTTTGTCCGCGAATTTCATATAAATTGCAGTAAATGTCTCGAAATATAAGACAATTGTCTCGAAACGTTTTCATAGCCTTAGGAATGTGTGCCATAAATAAATGTATTCCTCGGCAGTCAATGGTCTCAATGTTTACACACTTTACGGCAATTGTGGCCAACAATTGGGTGTCAATTGTCGGCCAGGGTTACTTATGCCCGACAGAGCAATTTGTGAAAATTTTTTATGTCAAATTTCACGCTAAACACGAATTTGAAATCAAAATATTTTTATCTCGAATATTTTTCGAGTTATTCGACTTAGAACTTTTGTTCGTAAAATATTTTTTTGTAATTTTTACAAAATTTTTATATCACTTCAATGCAAAACTTAACGCTGAAAACGAATATGAAATCCAAATCTATTTAGGTTGAATAGTTTTCGAAATATTCGACTTTAAAGTTTAACCCAAACATTCCATACCTAACCTAACCTAACTAAACATAATCTAACCTAACTTATTTTATGTTATATTTGGTTTGGTTATGTTTAGGTTAAGTTAGGTTAGGTTAGGTAACATTTTTAGCATGAAATTTGACATTTAAAAAAATTCACAAATTGCTCTGTCGGGCATAAGTAACCCTGGCCCAATTGTCTTCGTATTTGTCATTATTCTTTGCATAAATCGGTCGCTAAGAGTGATGTCGACAGCACTCCAGAAGACAGTCCGCTGGAACTGTTTGGACACACATTCCCAACGGAATCGGTCTTCGAGTGGGAGATAAGACAAGAGAAGTGCACACAAATCATCACCGAATCGATCCAAAGAGTCTTTTGCATAGATTTGTGGCTAAAATGAAATAAAAATAATTAAAATTCATTAAAATTCAATAAACAATAAATTATTTGTGAAATACCTGTTGAATGTTGTCTTCATTGCCGTCATCTGTGGTCTCGAGTGATGTCTTCTTGTGTTTCATCTGTTGTGTCATATCTTGGGATCAAATGAAGTGATTGTTTGAATGAATTGATTGAAAACCCAAACAATAACTGAAATTTCATTCACTTTTTGATTCACTTTTCAATTCCAACACTAATTACGTCTCGAATATAAACTTCTGTTTGAATTATTAAATGTTTTCTACAAAAAGTGAACACAAATTGTATAACAAGTGTACAATCGACATGAGAGTAATCTTGTACAATAGTATTTAATTGAATTTTAACTTGTTTTCTATGGGGGAGTATATGGGAGAGGGTTTTATATCGATTTCACCAAATTTGAGCGCTTTTTTTGAATTTATTATTTTTTCTATGGGAGAGTATATGGGGGAGGGTTT